CTGTATATCTTGGACTTTCTCCGTTTGGCTCGTGTTAATGGCTCTCCGGCGAGCAATGATAGGGTACTCCGGTTTCGTCTGTCTTCCTCGTACTTCGTCTTTATGGTCGCTGCTGTCCTAATGCGCTTTCTTAATTTCAGTTTGTGACTGTTAGCGTGTCAGATGTCCTCAGACTGTGGGTGGTGGTTGGCGAGCACTGTGGTGTGGTTTGCTTCTTCTTTCCTGTCAAACATCTCTCGTTCTCGTCTCTCCTCCTCCGTGCGTGGTTGGCGGGGGCTCTGGTGTGGCTTGTTTCTTCTTTCCCGTCAAACATCTCTCGTTCTCGTCTCTCCTCCTCCGTGCGTGGTTGGCGGGGGCTCTGGTGTGGCTTGCTCCTTCTTTCCTATCAAACATCTATCGTCTGTATCTCCCCTCCTTCTTTTTTATGTTTGTTTACTCCCTTGTAACACCTGTCATCTTCTGGCGCTCATATGACCTTTTGCAGTTGCGAGCGCCGTAAAACCTCTACTAAATTAAAAATGTCCCCCTCCTTTTCTTTGTATTTCATTTGGCCTTCTTTGTGTTCCCCTGCTAGACCCCAGAGGTAGGTCAAGTCGACTGCTGGTTCTTCTACCTGCAGTGCAACTGATGTTTACGTATGTGACCGTTTTTCTTACTGTGGCATTCTTTAGGAACATCTCTTATTTTCGACTATTAGATCTATATACCCAATTTGTGTTGCAAGTGTCGTAAGACTTTCACTGTGAGTGGTTGGTGGGTGCTCTGCTGTGGCTTGCTCCTTCTTTCCTATCAAACATCTATCGTCTCTATCTCCCCTACTTCTTTTTTATGTTTGTTTACTCCCTTGTAACACTTGTAATCATTTGGCGCTCATATGACCTTTTGCAGTTGCGAGCGCCGCAAAACCTCCACCAAAAGTAAACCTATTAGACTTTCACTCAAACTCATACTAATCTCAGACTATTACTCAGCACAACCGTCACCATGTGCTGCACTTCCACCACCGTCAACAAAAACTGGTTGAAAACTTAGACGCAGTGATTTCACGGTTTAGATCACAAGACCCGAACAAGAAAGAGACAGCGTTATTGAGAGCCAAAAATTCTGATGCAAGACACCGCTGTACTTAAAAATATCTTGTGACCTTTGAATGACATACAGAAAGGTTATTCAAAGCGGATTCGCTGACAGTCACGTCGTGTTCTTGAATAACTTCAATTATCGTGTCGTATAACAAGATCGCATGGTCATGTTGAATTTTTTTGGCGTGTGAAAAGAATAATATTATTACGGAACTAACTGATAATTTGGTAAGGATAGAAACTGTTGAATTTGGGAAACATTTGTCCTTCTTGAACTCAGTGTCTGTACTTTGTGATAAGTGTGTGTGTGCGTGTTTGTTTGTTTGTGTGTGCGTTTGTTAGTCTGCCTGTTTGTTTGTTTGTGTGTATGTGTGCATCTGGG